GCGTGATGCAGCCTCCCAGCCTCAGGGCGCGCCTAGGGCCTAGAAAAGGCTTTTCGCTCGCCCTGAAAAAGATAAAATCTGGAGCCCTCACATTGAAATCCTTAGGCGAACCGAGGTGAACAAGATCATGTATTTTTCCCCAAAAGCTTTTTTTCTTCCAAAAGCATCAAAACCTTAAAACCTTAAAACCAGGAAAAGCCCGGCCTTTTCAAGGTGAAGAAGGGAACCGAGAAGAAGTTTTTTGCTCCGTGAAGACAAAAAGGTTGGGTTGCCCATAGCGGAACTTACCGGAGCCCAAATGAGTCACAATCAACACCGACGCTAAAAGCGTCTACCCAGAACCGTGTAAAGAATTGGAAAGGCGGCCGCACCCATTTCTGGCTTGGATTTTCCCTTACTCCCTTCAATGAGTGTGAGTCAAATGCTGTGACTTCAACCGAGCCATTTTCTTCACCGAAACTTGTTGCGCCGGCAACTGAAAGAAAAAAAAGAACCAAGCCTCCCTGTCAAACGAATAACTTTCCTGACGTAGAAATCGGATCCTACCATGTGTTAGCTTCCTCTTCCTTTTGGGATCCTTCCTACCCCTTTGCATTGCGAAGATCCCCCCCTTTCTGAAACGCAAGCCCTGCCAGACTTTTGTCCAAAGCTCACCTCTTTCCCCCTTTTCAGCTGTCGCCACAAGCTGAAGTCTTTGGGCCCTTTGCGCGCTTTCTGGAAAATTTCACCTCTTCCCCCAGGCAACAATCCCTTGGTGTCTTGTGGAAACCAATTTCTTCTTGTGCTTTGTTGCTCCTTTGCGCTTTTCACTGTCCTAAACAAAAGCAGCCATAGTGGATGCAGTGTCTTTTACCACATCCAGGCCAGGCTCCACAGATCGGTCCAGACTGCCAGATGGCCGGGGTCCCCCGCGCCACTGGTCGCGGCGGAAGCTGCAAAGTGAGGGCGGCCTCGAGGCACAGGGCCGACAGAATGTCCAGGTTCCTCGGATCCAATCCCAGGCTTGGTCACCTGGTTGCATTTGTACCGCACTGCCAGACCCCGCAAGCAGTTTACCAGTTGGTCACAAGCGAAAACAAGGAAACACACAGAGCGAACATGCAAAGTTCGTTCGGTCTGGTCATGTTTTGCTGTAACGGGGCGGTTTGGGGCAGTGAAGGGTTGGTGTTCACAACGGCGGAGATGTAGGTAGGTGGGTAGGTAGGTAGGCAAGCAGGCAGGTAGGTAGGTAGGTAGGTAGGTAGATATGTAGGTATGTATGCATGCATGCATGTATGCATGTATCCATGCTCATGGATGCATGCATGCATGCATGTATGCATGTATGTACGTACGTACGTATGTAGATGCTTGCATACGTACCTACACGGCAGATTTTGACATTATTTTGCAGGTTGTTGACGCTGCAAGCATGATGTAAATGAACTAGATTTGCTTTGGAAGGGGTGCGGATTTGTTTAAAGAAAAGAAAAAAACTGGTTTTCGTCGTGGCCATCGCTTTCAACCTCCCACATGTCCCACCAACATCCTCAGTATCACCAGCAAATCGTACTGTCCGCCAGGTATGTTTGGCGCGCATGTTAAAAAGGAGCAAGGCGGTTTGGAGGGGGGGGGGGGAGCAGCCCGCCCCCCCCCCCGATGGTCGAGAAAATGATGATTCAAATAGGAGTGCAACTCAATCTCTGTAATAAATCAAAAAAGTAGAGGGGGGGTTGGGGCGGCGGCCCCCCCCAATGATGTTCGAAGAAGCGATGATTGAAGAAGGGGTCCGTTACTCCTTGTCAAGAATATGCACAGCAGCAGGGGTGGGGCGGCAGTCCCCCCATGATGTTCGAAGAAGCGATGATGGAAGAAAGGGTCCGTTAATCTCTGCAAAGAATATAAATAGCAGCAGGGGGGGTGGGGGGGGCTAAAGGGCATTCAGAAATCTAACGAGAGGTACTAAGAAACAATCATATCGGTGCTGAGGAATATGGCACCCACCCCTTCTTTGGTGCCCATGTTTGGCCAAACAAATGAAAAACAAATGAAAACTGCCCAAAGAAGTGGTTAAAATACAGGGGGGGGACCGGGGAGGAGGCGTACCATGTGTATATATATATATATATATTAGTATGTATATATATATAGATATATATATATATAAATGTATGCACATGCGTGCATGCATGCATACATATGTACGTATGTACGTACACACACACATACATCCGTACATTGTGTGAGAGGAACCAAGTCTACTGAAGGACCAAGCCACGTCTCACTCGTGCCCGAGACCTCTAGCACCCGCGCCCAGCAGCTGGTGTTTTCCCGCCGCCAGAGGTTGGTACCTTTTCGCATCCTCCTTTCCCAGTTATGGCTTTTGCACCCTTTCGTTGGTTTTGGCTTTGGCTTTCCGCATCCTCAACATCACCCGTTCCTCTCGGGCAGGTGTTTGTTGTATTTATGTTTATGTATGTATGCATGTATGTGTGTAATCTATGTCATCTATGTATACATGTCTGCATGTATGCACTTCCTCGAACAGTGAATGTCATGTTTTGCTGTTGCCAGTGTGCTTTGACTTTACACAAAAAATGAGATTCAAGATTCAAGATTTCAATCAATATTTTCTGGAAATCTTGAGTATTAAATCTTGAATATTGAATCCCTGAAGGTGTTAAAAATGTTGTTTAACAAAAATGTGGCAACAGCCAAAAACAAAAGAAGGTGTGATCCAGCCGTCTCATGCTATCTTAATACCGGTATCAAGAAATCTAATTGCCAGTACTAAAAACTCTTCATAGCGGTATTAATACTTCATCGGTGGCATTGGTGGATCCAATACTTTCCCCAGAAGTCTCCCAGCAATCTTGTATCTTGGATCCAGGGTCTAAATACTGGTATTTAGAAAATCTAAATACCGGTATGTAAATCTCACGGGGAGGCATTCATGGATCCAAGAATTCCGCCGAAAGCCCCCCCGCAATCTGCAAAGACCAGCTTCTATGTGGAAAATCCTTCTTATTCTGAGGTCGGGATTCTGGACAAAGCTTCCTGGGCAATTGTGATTCTTGAGGCTTGGAAAGATCCTTTTCTTTGATCTGTTCCAGGGATACTCAAATTTCCTTTGTTGGTCCCGTTCCTGTAATTTCCGGGGTCTGGCTTGCTTGGAACCCTTGTTTTATCCTAACAAGGACTTTTTCTGTTCAATACCAAAATAAAATGGCTTTACACACTATACTTACTCTTAAACTGACTCTATGGCCTTTTTCTGGAGTCAAGACTTTGGAGAAAATATACATGTCTTGTGCGCAGGAGGTACATATCTCTGCTCTGCTGCAAAAAAAGTTCAAACTCTACGGCCTGCCTGCTCGAACCAAGCAAAACGGTGCACCTACCGCAAAATCAGCAAGACTATGCATCCTGCGCTCTCAAATCAAGCAACATATAGGCACCGGGGGAAGGGGTAGCACATACATATGTGTGTGTATATATATATATATATTATACATATATGTATTATACATATATATATATATATATATATATGTATACACAAATATCATCTGGATATGTATTTGGGGGTAAGAAGTTTGAGGGTCCAGGAAGATTACTTTGATTGAAGCAAAGTGCGAGCAAGGTACCAGAGCAGCGTGTTGATGGCCGGGGTGGTGCCAGTCATGGACTTGTACCACCTGTCTGACTCACTCCCACTCGTGCCGGGGAGAGCCCGAAACAAGCAAAATTGGGGTGGGGGTATGTGCCCCAACTTGGCCAAGGCTCACCTGGAAGGTTAATGGACAATGAGCAACGGGCTCAAAACAGCCAGAAGGACGAACCAACTCCCGGGCTTGATGTGGTCACTGCACTTTGGATTACTTGGAGAACCGCTTAGTGCGAGAGAGAACAATGTCTGATTCAGGATCTGCAAGTTGGAGGCGCTCGGGATGCAAGACATCATCCTCTACAAGTATAGAAGGACCCCCCCCTCCCCCTCTCTCTCTCTCTCTCTCTCTCTCTCTCTCTCTCTCTCCTTTTCTCTTGTGTCCTCTCTCCCCCGCTATGCAGACTTCAGGTCGCATTCACGCTTGCAAACACCTGACGGTCAACACCCGAACGAGACAGGTTGGGGAATCAGTGATTTCGACTTGGATAAGTCCCCTTGGAGTCGTCCCACGTGTTTCCAAAAGCATCAGCCTTCTTATCACAAAAACGTTTGCCAAAGAGCCGCCAAAAGGGGCGGCTCCGCGGCTCCAGGCATTCCTTCAAACCCATAGGTCCCTAGCTTTCACTTAGGATGCGTTCCTGACCATGGACCTGGTTGAACGGTAGGGTGCCGTTCCATTTCAATTGCCAGGGAACCCCATTCCAAACCTACGGGGCTCCGCGCAAAAAAGAAGAAGAAAAAAGGTCGATGCCGGGGGCAGAAAGCCGCACCCATGGGACTGCCCCCGTAAGCTTCACAAGCCCCAACTGGAAAAATTCGGATCCTTTGGTCCACTCCGGGCCCAAAGGAGCCTCACCAAAACCCAAAGTAGCTTGAAGGAACCAAAAGGCTTGGAGGAACCACATGGCCATGGGCTTTTCAAGATCCAAATCGGTCAGCCCCCAGTGAACATCCGATTCAATCCAACCACTAAAATAGGTTCTGAAAATGGGTGGTGGATTCACCTACCCCAAAATGGGATCCCAAAACGGTTTTGACAACCACAGCCACATGAATCCACGAAAGACCCCCCAAAAAAAAAAGAGGGAAGAAGAAAAGAAAAAACTTCGCCGCTTCTGGTCCCAGCGAAGCAACTCTTCGGGCAGCCCGGAGCGAGCCCGAGGCCCGAGGCCCCCCTTGGGCCCAGCGGCATGGCGTGGGTGACCACCGAGAGCAGCGCCACCACGCCGGCCGTGAACCAGGCAGCGCCCAGCGGCGGCAGGCGGTAGGACTTGGCGCCGGCCAGCGGCCTCCAGCCCAAAGCGCGGGGCCCCGCCCCAAAAGCGCGGTGGTTTTCTTTGGATCACACCGGGGATCCTTACATTATACACCTGAACACTGCCTTGTCAATGGGGGTGTTTTTATTTCGGTGGAAAAAGCCACATGTTTCAAATGGTTGCAAAATGTATCTTTTCAGGAGCCCTGCATGAACCCCACTCAGATCGCCCTCGAGCCAATTGGAACCCTAAAGGATGGCACTTGAACAAGTAAATGTATTGCTTGGAATTCTATGTCAACCTGCAGAGTGCTCGCGCACACACGACAATCAGAAGGAACCTGGACTTGGCCGCCATGGTCCTTTGCTTGGGTTGGCACGCACCCCCAGTTAGTTGCCAAACTCTTTGTAAAGTGGGCATGCCTAGGCGAGATGCCCCAAAGGGAAGTGTAGCAGTCTGCTTCAAAACTGCTCAGAAAGGGCTGGGTCAAAAGCCCGTACCCCCAGTGAACATCCCAATGCAACCACTAAAATAGGTTCTAAAATGGGTGGTGGACTCGCCGAAAACCCCCCAAAACCCCCAAAATGGGATCCCAAAACGGGTTTGACGACCACATGTGTCAATCTCGGGCGGGTCTGGTGACCCCTCAAAGCTCGGGTTCTCCCGATCCAAGGCGCAGAAAGGCCAGCAGCGCCCAAAAGCTCTGCGCCAGGAGCGCTGCAGCCAGCGGCGAGTCGCTGAGGAAACCGGTCAACGACAGGACGCCGATTTTCTCGGCCTACACAAAACACCGGCCGCAAGAGAAGAAGCATTTCTTAAAGGGGCCTGGCAAAGGGCTGTCAAAGTGATAGCCTCAATTTACCCACAGAATGGTGGCTTCTAAGTGGAAACCAACCCCGCACGCGTAAAACCGACGAGCGCAGGACCCGTTTTGACAGATCCCTCCTCTCGGATTACCGACAAAACGATGAACGAAGGTAAACCGTCTGCTTCCCTGCAAAGGCCCTGCCCGTAAACGAACACAGGCACACGCACACACACACACACAAAGGAAACTGGTACCTTCGACATCTGGGTTTGCCTCAACAACGGGAACCCCACAAAGACATGATTTCTGTTGTTTCCCCCCAACCCCCCCATGGGCACGTTGCCCTGTTTGTGTGCCCCTCACACCGTCACTACCTATTTAATGTTCAGTCTGAGCAGCGTACGCAGGGCCCATCCAGCCGATCAGCATCAAAGCCACGCTTAGCAGCACCGCGGCACGCCTTCGGCGATCCACCATGGCAAAAGCGCCGGTCGATGAAACGGTTTTCAGCGTTGTTGTCTATCGGGGCGTCTTGTGCTGTACGTTGGAAAGCGCTGAAGGGCGGCTTGAGGAAATGGGCGGTTCTTCGTTGGGAACCATCGTGACGAGACTATGGGGCTGATCAAGTTGCCTTTTGGGGTGATGGTGTTCAACTGCCTTTGATGAAAAGAAAGCACAAACAAAGACGCTACGAACATTCAGCATGAGCTACGAACATTCAGCATGAGCTCCTGAGGGCACGCGCAGCTTGTCACAAACCGCCCAACCTGCGCGCGCGGAAGCGTGCACAACCAAGCGAGGCGAGGGCAAATGCTTGCGACACAGGCTCAAGGCCCGAACGCAAAGCCAAGGCAACCAACAGCATGGATCCTGGGGGTGTGCTTATATGTACACATATGGGTGTGGCTCAAAATTAAACAGGAGGGGCAAACCGCAGGTGTTGGTCCATGTTACCACTTACCAGATTAACCCATTTTGGTACCGGTTTGTTGAGCCACAGCCATATACAGTACACGTACCTGGCAAAATCCGAGCGAACTGTGCAAGACCTGTGACCTGTGGTAGTGGTCTGGGCAATGTGCACTTGTCTGTCGCGCACGGGATGCTGAGAGCAGCATATCAACCATGTTCCGTGTGGGAGGGCGCATGTATTCCGGGGTCTTGTCCGGACCCAGGTGTGCGCGCCCTGCGATGCTATGAAAGCACGCTGCTCTCTAGTCAGCCTGAGGTTGCGCCTGATGAGTCTTGCACCCGTGAGCTGCCTGGTCACACGCTTCAGCTTCTTGTTGTCAAGCTGCGATCGTCCTTGCAGTGACAGTCCCAGCTCCTTGCTTCGTGCTATTGTGAGCCCACAAGTCGTAGGCATTTTGAGTTGTTCCTGATCCACCCGCGTTCCATTCTCTGCGGAATTGAAAACTGACACTCCAGGCGTTGGCGTTGGATGGTGTCAACGTCGTTGCCTTCCGGGCTCCAATCTCAATGTTGTCTGTGGTCTTAGCAGGACTTCCGCTTCATTTTGCTGTTCAACGTGTCCATGATGTTCTGCTCTGGCCTGGAAAGGAGGTTGTCTACATAAATCATGATGTAGAGTAGACAGTCTTTTGATATGTGTCAATGCGCTCTCTGTTGCACAACAGGCGAGGCCAACCTGTACTGCGTGGGTGTGCGCTATGTCGTCTTGCCAGTGCTTTGGCGAGGACTAGAGCCATACATGGCTTCGTTCAGCCGCCGCGTGATGCGTCTGCTTCCTTCACCATCCAACTCTGTAAGTGGGCGCATCGCTGTCCCATGCCCAAACGCAACGCTGACCAAGACATAGCCCTTTGCTACTAATCTGGCTCGAGGCCATTTTTATGACGATGGCTTGCTGCTCTGGCGTCAGTGTGCGCCCATCTGTTTCTGCAAAGACCCCTTGGCCCTTCACGTCTTGCGCCGCTTGCCTGTGACTCTTTCTGCTGTGGCATCCTCTCTCTCTCTCTCTCTTGCGGGAGATGCCGGTAGAGAGGGGGGCGCGGGGCCGGCCCCGGCAGATTCGACGCGACCAAGCTCTGGTTCTATCCTCCAAAGTCTTTCCCCCTAGCGCCTAACTTCAACTCGAGCCCTAAAATCTAGCTTCGCGTGCAAGACATGGATGTCTAAGCGTTTGTAGACCAACTTACCATAGACGCGCAGACTTGCGCCATTTTGGGCTGCGTTCTCAAGAAGGCCCTGGAACTTCCTCGCTCGCTTCTTTTCCGCTTGGTGAGACCTTGAATTCTTCCTGGACACGGTGAGACAAATTTTCAGCATCTTCCCGTGGGGAGATGTCATTGCTTATCGTCCCTGCCACGATTGACAAAGATGAGCAGCGAACAGTACCCAGACAACAACACGGAGCGGAAAGTTCTAAGGGGTGCGCTATGTGTGAAAGGAGAACCTAAAAGTTGTGGCTGTTCCTGTTCATTGCCCTTCAAAGATTAACCTAAAAAGGGTACCAACTCGCAAAACAAACCCATCTCGCGCAGGGCTGAACCGACATCGAGGCGGTCACTCCGGCCCCGCTCGGAGCATCCTGGCCAAGATCCCGAGCAACTGCCGGTGAACATGCTCGCACCGCCAAAATCGGGGGAGCCCCGAAACCGCCTAGAGGTACAAACACAAAGAGGCAATCGTCAAGGATTGGCACGAGTGAAACCAACCGTCAAACAAAGCGACCTACATGATCAGAGCTCAGCGCGATCAAACCCGGTAATGTTGTGGGCTTGGGGACTTGCTGGAGCACAGACCACCCAAATGTACCCTTTACATGTGGAACCTATCTTGGTCATCTTCCTCAAACAAAACAGCTTGGATGTTTGGTTGGTGTGCGAATCCCATTTGCCTAAGGTGGATTTACTGAATAGCCACAAGGTGGCGGGCAATTGTCCGGCTTGTCCAAGCCTCACTTCAGAGGGTACAACACCTAGGATACTCCCTCCATATTCTCTCTATTTGGAACCCCCAAAAAAATGCAAACATAAACAAGCAGCGTAGACAAGTAGGCGGCCAGAGAAACAGGCCAAAGGAAGGCAGGGATACGAAAGCCCCGTCAGTCGTGCCTCACTGTTTGTCCAATTCAGAGAGCTGCAATGAGAATTGCTGAATGGCGAGGATGCAACGGTCTCGACTTGTCGTTCAAAAGGAGCCTTGAATATAGCTAGTAAATGTGATACATGCCTTTTTTCAGGTACCCTTTTCGGGGCTGATTTAAAGGGCAACCAGAAGGAAACCAATCATTCCCCCCTTCAATTTTGACATATACAAATTTGAAATCTGGGCGGCTTCAATTAATTGGAAGGGCCGCCCTTGAAGGGGTGGTCTTTCAGGGCAACCAGAAAGGGTTGCCAGCTTCAGGGCTGCGATTTCACCTATTGCCTGTGCAACACGAGAGTTTTCCCCTCTGAAAGGGCGGTTGCGAAAGGGAGCCGAGTACAGCTCGCTCATTTGGACACTTTGTGGCTATGATTTCTTTCTGGCCAACATCCTCAAAAAAGGAATGGTGAACATTCTGCTTTTGGCGCAGCGCTTTTAATGGTCAAAAGGGGAAGCCAAACGGAAACCGCCCATTTTGGCTTTGTGAGGGTCCCCTTTTTGGGGATGGCTGAAAGGGTACATAAAAGTCCCAAAGCCCATTTTGGGGGTCCCATCATTTCAAGAATCGACCACGCTCCAAAGACTCAAAAGCACCGAAATTTGGCTGCTGGAACAGGAAAACCAGGTTTTCCAAGTTGCCCGTCTTGCACTTTAAGGTGGGTAAAAAGGACCTTCCGAGAATGAACATTCAAATATGTGTCTGTGTGGCAAAATAGGTGTGGGTCAAAAATTAAACAGCTGGGCTTACGCAGGTTTTACTCTACTTGTCCATTTACCAGGGTTCCATTTTGGGGTTTCCCTATTTTTGAGGGTTTCCCTATTTTTGAGCCACAGCCAAATAGATCTCAGTTGTCCAAAAGACCCAGAAATAAAAGGTTAACCTTTGGGGCCATGACTAAAAATGCATCAACATCGGAAAACCAAAAGGTTAAAAGGTCGGCTTTGTAACTGAGAGATACTTGATCTTTCGAAGACTCCGGAGGTGTTCGAAGCACCTCCCACCCGCCTCTCACAAGTCCTCCGCAATCAGGCCGTCCGTGTGGCCTCAAACGTTCCAAACAAAAACTCGGAGCCAGTTCGGACCAAGGAGAAGGCAATACTGTGGATGGACGAAATCCAATTCGCACCACCCAAGAAACCCTGGAATGATGACTCCCCTGCAAATATCAACCAACAATGGTTTCCCATTGTTTCAAAGTGGTACAGGATTTCGTCCATCCACAGTAAGACATCGCCCAAAAAGGCTGCGATGGCTCCATCACCTTGGCCCTGCGCAGTTACCTGTAGACCCACTTACCCAAACGCTGTAGCCTCTCTCCAAACGTGGGTCCCATGAAACGCACATCCCAAGGACACGCCAAAGGCTGCCAAACCGCTACCCCCAACAAAAAATTCCTGGCAGTTTGAACAATTTTTGGCCCCTACCCATCTTTCCGGATCGACTCTCCGAGCTCCTGGCGCGGGCCCCGGGGGGGTTTTTCTGGGGCTCCGGCTGCCGGGGCTCTGCATGTCCGAGGTCCACAACGTCAAGTTGTCCCGCAGGAGCTGCATGATGGCCTCGCGAGCGCGGAGGCGAGCGGCGGCGAGAGGGGCGAGAGGGAGGCGAGAGGCGGAAGGCGAGGCTTGGACGATACGCAAAGAAAGGTCCGACCCAGCGAATCACAGGGTGTGGGGGGGTTTGGGTATGTGTGTGGGGGTGGGGGTGGGGGGGGGGGGGGGTGGGGGTGTGGGGGTGCACGGCCCAAGCAAATCCCTGATTCTACGCTGAAATAAGTCCCACCCAAAATGAATAAAAACAGCACCGGCTCGCCTGAGGGAGTCCAATCTCAGAGACATCCAAACTTGGGTCGCGAGAGACCAGTCCATTGTCCAAAATCTAGGGGGTTGCCCTCCAACAACATGCCGCGACCCCTCCTTGAGCGGGGTCGATCACGACTGGGATCCTTTCGGATTTGAAAACCCGCTTGTTGGGACTGCTGAACATGTGCCCTGACAAAGAAAGCAAGGATTCAGGTAGCTTTTACACATGCTCCAGGTGAAAACACGGACACAAGACACCGGACGAATGATTTGCTGGAAGCGCTTGAGCTTGCAACATCGAAAGACCTGAGCAATCACGACAAAAGCCGACTGACAGTATCCGCCAAACCGTTGTTTTGTGTTGTTGTTCCTGATATATGTACAATGTAGGTGCGTACGTATGTATGTATGTTATACATATATATATATATATATAAACCGATATATACAATATATATACATACATATATATATATATATACACCCATTTGTAAAGAAGATCAAATGTCACATTACGCTCTGTTGGCCTGCCTCGCGGGGCGCAGTGTTGGGCCGCTTTTGGTAGCGGTTGCGGGGTTCCCTTCCATCTTAGTCGCCCTCTCCGGGCGATCCAAAAGCAACAAAGTAGCTTGAAACAGCACTGGTCGCAATACGATTGCATGTGAATGTGGTGATGCTGGTGTGCTGCTGCGGCATAGTTTTGATGTCATTGTATCTAAGTGGCAATGCTGGGGATGCTGTTGCTGCTGCATCTCCATATCTGGTATAATATCTGCCCCACTAATACATCCACCGCTATCAATAAATATGTTGCCAAGCCAAGAATCAAGTCCTAAGAGCCCTTACTGGGGGATACGTTTCCCTTCTTTTGCCTGTAAATTCAATCTGCAAATTGTAATTGCAATTTCGCCTTGTAAATCGGAACTGGCGAACCCCAAAAAGTGGCTGCGAATTCCTTACGCGGCTGATTACCAGTTTGACGGGTTTTGGACCCCTCCTTAACCAGAGGCGCCAGGGTCAAAACTCACAATATTGGCCGGGGCCATGGACGGCTTGTCGGAACACTTATAACGAGCGTCCAAAATCCGCTGACCATCCCTGCTAACTCCGAGTAAACGGTCTTGCAAGTTGCAACCAACTTCATGATTACGTCATTCCAAATGCAAGTTTCAGCAAGCTGAGAACGGCAAGACCTCTCTCAATCCTGACAAGGTGCCGCACTATCTTTGTAGCTGTCCTCAGGGCGGCGCGGGGCGCATTGAACCCGTGGGTTTGTCGGGATCCCCTGTGTGCATGGTTCCTAGTTGCCCGGCACTTGCCAACAGATACCCTGTAAAAATGGGTGGCCCCAAAGCAGACCACATTGGAACCCGCAGACTGTTGCCACCCTTTGCACAATGATCATGATTCGGCTGCTTCGCTGTTTGAGGTTGCTCAGGTACGGCGCTTTGCGGCTGCGGTGCCGCATCTCGAGCAAGGCGCTCCCTGGCGCCCGATGCCAAACGCCTGACTGTTGGCGCACATCACACGTTTGCGCGCTCCATGTTCGGGCATCTGGGTGTTTACACGCATGTTTCGCCCCGCAGCCCAGCTTCAAAGTTCCTGTTTCGGGCTTCTCTCTGCTGCCGCGAAAGCTGCTCAACACGGCCGCAAGGAAGGTCTGACTTGAAGAAGCTGAGCGACAGCCTCTGCTGTCACGTGCGCCACAAGGTGCGCACCCGCAGCTACGGCGCTCTGCGCGTTGCGCGTGGTTAGGTGTTAGCGCACGAGTATGGCGCTTTGGAACTTGCTGCCAATTAGCGACGCACATACCGTAGCCGAGATTCGATTGATATCGACAACAGGACAATATGAACGCACTCCAACACCTCGAAGTGACCGCATCAGTTTCGACAGTGCTGGTGGCTGTTCCGCAGAGAAACGGCCTTTGACTACTTATGCTTTGAGTGTCTTGCCAAAGCCCGACGCCAAGAGGAGGGCGTGATAAGAATCGACCAGCAGAGTAGCCGGGGCGCGCTGAAGGCTGAAGGCCTGTGCGCAGCCCAGGAGCCCTTGCTCCGAGGTCCGTGACCAAGTCCACTCCGCAAATTTCACTGCGCAACATCTCCAGTCAAGCTTGCGCAAACTTGCGCAAGTTTTCGACTCAAACGTCTCTTCTCCAGTTGCCTACGCGAGCTCTCGACGCAAGTTTCTCTGCGCAATCTCTCTGCGCGAGCCTTGCAAGCTTCTTTCGCAAGGTTCGCTGCAAATTTATCTGCAGGCGAGCTCCGTGCGCATGTGTTCGGCAAACACCACGGCGCCTCCCCGCTTCGCACTACTTCCGCGCTGAGCACATGCGATTTTCGAACTGGAGCTGCGGGATCGCACCTCTTGTACTACTTTTGCACTGACAACTTCTACTTGTTGACTGGACTTTGCCTGAAAAACTGGTAAGCGGGTCAAAGCCAAGCCTCGTAGATCCACGAGACAACTTCCGAAGACTCATCTGTGATGAAACAAAAAGGTTTCGCAACACTCTAGCTTTTGCGCATCAAAAATGCCGATGCTCAGATCTTAAATATAACTGAGCACTCCAGTTCTCAGAGGGTCGCGCGCAGAACGCGGACAGTTGCACAACACTGCAGTTCGAAGCCCGATCTCCGCACTGACCTCCCCTGAATGCGTTGATGAGCTTTACGCAACCCGACTCCTCGTCCAGGCGGTCCATGACCGCCATGGCGTCATCGAAGGCCGCCTTTGACAGTAGACAGGCCTTCTCCTCCGCTCGATGGAAGGCTTCAGACCCTAACGGCTCGGTTCCTTTGCGTTTCCATCAGAAGGGAACCAGGCACCAGTTCTTTCATGGTTGCCATGGTAAGGGCCCAGTACCAAGCGTCTTACGCCCACCTGCTGAATGGCGAGGCGTTGTTGCCAAAAACACTGAGAGCTTTGGAAAGATGGGCCTTGTGGTTTAGCAAATTGGTTCGGAAGGGAAAGAGGAAAACTGCCGCTGAACTTCTACCCAACCGGGTGTTGATCACTTAGGAACGGCTCGGGCAACGCAGGCCAAACAAGTGAACGGTCGATCTTGGAAAGCCACGGTGGGCTTTGCAAAGAACAGCTGAAGGCCTCCCCGCGCAAAGGAGAACCACTCAAGGGTTCTCCCCAGTCAAGGCTTCAGAAACACGGACGGACGGACGGACAAACAAACCAACCAACCAACCAATCAAACACACAACCAAACAATCAAACAAAACAAAATAAGACAAGAAACCAAGAAACCAACCAGCCAACCCACCAAACAGCCAACCAACCCGCCAACCAACCAACCAACCAACCAACCAAATGCAAGGACAAACAAACAAAACAAAACAAAACAGACCAACAACTATCAAACAAACCTGCAAGAAGGAAAGCAAACTAAGCAAGCAAGCGAGCAAGCAATCAAGCGAGCAAGCAAGCAAGCAAGCCAGCAAGGAAGCGAGGAAGGAAGGAAGGAAGGAAGGAAGGAAGGAAGGAAGGAAGGAAGGAAGGAAGGAAGAAAGGAAGGAAGGAAGGAAGGAAGGAAGGAAGGAAGCAAACAAATAAACAAACAAGACAGACAAATACACAAAGAAACCAGCCAGCAAACAGACAAACAAACAAACAAACGGACAACACATCTGACCAAGCAAGCAAACAAACAAACAAACAAACAAAAAAACAAACAAAAAAACAAACAAACCAAACAAAACAAACAAACAATCCAGTAAGCAAGCAAACTAACCAATGAACAAACAGGCCAGAAAGCAAGCAAATCAAAGCAAATCAAACCAAAGCAAAGCAAAGCAAAGCAAAGCAAAGAAAGCAAGCAAGAAAACGAAGCCAGCAAGCAAACAAAAAACAACAAACAACGACCAAGCAAACAACCTACCTGCCTACCCGCCTGCCTAACAACCACACAAGCCAAACAAGCCAAGCAGCAAACAAATGACCAACCAGCGAACCAGCCGAGGTTCCGGGGAGGAGAAGACCTCGTAGTAAAACACCGAGAAGTTCAGCGCCAGGCCCAACCTCACGGGGTGCGTGGGCGGCAGCTCGCTGATCGCCGTCTCGGAGGCCGACTGGTAGGCGTCGTGCGCCTGCACGCACGCGTCGAACCCTGAGAAACCCGGGCGCGATAGTCATAAACCATCCAAGGTTTGTAATTTCCTTTTGAGGGGATTCATTCCCACATTCCCTTTCTCACCAGCAAGAACAGCTCGGAACAGCCTTTTAGGGCGTACGTCGAAATGGCCAGTGGTAAACTCCGAGCCTTTGAAGCAAGCTTTGAAAGGGTACCGAGACATGCGGGGTGTTTTTTGGGGAAGCCGCAAGGGCAATAGAGGCCGTATTGTTCCTACGGAGAAAGAGAAAGAGAACTTGGATGTCACGAATACGTCAGTCAGTGCTAACCAAACGGCACCACACAAGCAAGCGATAACTCTTTTATCCAAGCAATGTGTTGGTGCCAGGGACTCATCTTCCCCTGTCAGATGTCTACGGCCGGGTGGGCCCCATCGGCCACCCACCACAAACTCTCAAAAACTGAAGAACGGGTGTGCAGACTGATAGCGCCCGCCCCTGGGCCGGGGCCAGGGGCACCCAGGCCACAGGGGGGTCTGCCACCAGGGGAAGTGAGTCACCCACCGGCTCCGGTCACGGGAGCATGGGTGGGCCCACGCTAAGATCAAATGCATCTCCATTCAGGAGACGCGGGAGAAAAATGAACTCCTCGCAGAGTTCCTGTTTAGGAACTCTGTGCAAAGGGTCGAACCCCGAGAAATCTGGGTGCGTCAGCTCATCGGCCCACTGGTTGAATTCCCGGGGCACGTGGTTGGCCGCCAGCGAGCAGCCATGGGTGTGGAGCAGGAAGACCAGCTCCATCAGGATGGCCGCGGTGTAGGGCTTCTTGGGTCCAAGCTTGAGCATCGCCATGACGTTGCCCTGATTGTCACTGCCCACCGGGAGTCGGACCCGGGAGGACAGAGGGCCTTGGTGCGTGAGGATCATGTTACAGAGGAAGAGCGCCCCTGTCAGATGTCTACGGCTGGGTGGGCCCCATGGGCCACCCACCACAAACTCTCAAAAACTGAACAACGGGTGTGCAGACTGATAGCGCCATTTCCGAAGGACAGTCTGGCACACCCGCCATTTCCGAAGGATGCCAGTCTGTGCTGAGGGCCCTGGCCAGAGCCCTGTCCTTGGCCTCCCCCTCAGGTCGCCAGGGCCGGGGGCACCTAGGCTTCCAAAGGTAGGGCCACCACCACCTGCAGTGTGGGGACCTCCGCAGGCTCCAGTACCCAGTCCGCCGGGAAGCCGTACCTCTTGAAGCAGCGTTCGCACTTGCCATAGGCCTCTGGCTCCGACATGTAGTCCAGCACGGAGAGCCGCCGGTCGCCACCCGCACCCCACAGCCGTGCCTTCGTCATTCAGCAGGTGGATTCTGGCCTGGCCGGCGTTGCCTGTGCGTTTGACTGCCGCAACAACACGAAGGGGGAAGTCCGGGGTGGTGGGAAACAGGTCCTTGGCCTTCACTGGTGTGTCCTCGGGTCCCTGTTCCACCAATGACCATGAGCGAGTCGATGTTGTGCTCCCTGATATTACCGTGGGGGACGCCTCCCCTTCCCCTTAAGTTGTGGCCGTCCGGTCCCGCATCCGTGATTTCCACTGCTGGCGGCGGGAGCGGGTCCGCCCAGTCCGGGTGGTTCAAGTCCTCCCTGCGTTCCCTGCCTGGCCCGAGGTTCAGGTTGGGGACCTTCTGCGCTACCAAATCTCCACAACGACATTGCGCTTCTCCCGCACATAGACGTCTGCTGTGCTCTCTGTGAGCCAGTTGCCTAAGTACATGCGGCGCTCCCGGGGGAGCCCCATCTGGAAAGCGCAGTCCGGGATGAACACTCGGAATGAGTGCCACGTCAGCGGCTTCACCAACCCCAGGGTCACTCCCCGACGCAGAAAAGCATCCTTGAGCCATCTCAGAGCCCTTTCAGTAGTCCATGTCCTGGAATGCCTTCTCGGACACCAGTCGCCGGACCGTGGCCACCCAGGTAGTCCACCAGAAGATTCCCGTGAAGCTGTACTTCGGAAAGGGGACCGGGTTGCTGCCAGGCCTTCAGCTCCACGGTGTTACTGGTGCGGATCAGGTCCTTAGGGTGAACATGCTGGAGGTCATTGAAACGAGCGCTGCGCCCTACTTGGAACCGGGCGAAACCCAGGATGAATGCGTCCAGTACCTCGTGTCTGCTCCTCCCCGGGGCCGCCTGCGTACTGGGGCCGGTGGGGCCGGCTTGGTTTTGGACGAGCCCGAGGCCCCCCCGTCAGCTGTGATGAATGACCTCTCATTTGCCACACCGACTCCCGGCTTGGGTGCCCCTGGCCCCGCCGAGGAGGGCGACAGGGACATGGGGGATGCGGACGGCACGGAGCGGGCCACACCACCGGAGGAGGCGCAGACGCCACCCACGAAGAGACTGAAGGGCTTTGTGGCGGCTTCTCAGAAGGCTACGTCTCAGGCCAACAAACCTGTCACCTTGGTGCCGGTGGACGGAAAACCTGGGTACTTCAAGCTGGTGGACCTCCCGGACTTGTTTCCAGTCCTTCCAGCGTCGGCGGCCACCTTGCTGAGAGACATCACGGTGGAGGAGGCGGTCTCCCTGTTTTACAAGTTTGTTGGGCAGAACCTCACGGAGGACCTGGTGATCCGCATCTTGGAGGCGTACGTCCCGATGAAGATCCAGCTCCGCCAGGAGGAGGTCTGGGCTTCGCAGTTCCAGAGGAACAAGGCGTGTGTCGGCACCCAGCGCATGTACAGGCTCGACGCAGGTCATTCCGACTACAAGTTCATGTGTAAGGCATGCGGAACGGGGTGGAGAGGCAGCCAAGCAGTGCTGGGTCTGCCCCGGCAAGGAGTCCGCCCCCTTCCAGGCACCCTCGGCCACCTATGAGGCGGACGGCATCACCTACAATTGGAGGGCAAGCCAATCTGGATCCAGCAGCGGGAATGGGGAAGCCTGGGTGCCGTTGGCCCCGGTGGTACCCTGGCACAGGCCGACCGCAACTTGGTGGACGGCACGGTCTTGGGGAGAGCCCCTCCAAAAACGGACTCGGCTGATGAGATCACCATGGCAGATGCGGTCCCGCTTAACATGCGGGTGGACATCCGGCAGGAGATCCTGTCCATGGAGGCGGATGACGAGGCGATGAAGGTCCGGGAAAGCCAGGAGTCAAAGTCCCTGAAAGAGGCGGAGGCTCAGAGCTTCGAGCTCTACCATCCCCAGGTGGGCCAGGCGATCAGGAAGAAGGAGGAGCTGCATAAGGCCTTGCGGGAGCAGCGGGACTCCGCGGCCAGGCGGCTGCACAAGGAGTTGGTCACTGAGGAGATGCTGGACAACGAGATGGCGATCCTGGCGCCCCTCCAGGAGGGCATGCAGGCCCTGCCGTCAGATGAGGTGGCCAACGAGGGAGCCCGTGCCCTCAGAAAGGTCAACCTGGAGCGTTTCAAGGCCAAGCTGAGAGACCAGTACTTGGAGGGGAAGAGCCAGTCCAGGACACCAACCAGGCATGGATGCTCAACCACACTCTCAAGCCCTTGGAAGTGTCGGCGTGGCCGGATGATCTCAGGAAGGCCCTGGAGAGGGGCCTATTCTGCCCCCTGGAGCTGGAGGACCCCGACGACATCCCCCCGGTGGGGGGCATCAAGGAGAAGTATGTCCCCTACATCAAGATGCTCAGAGCGTCGCAGAACCCGTGGCACAAGGGGGGGGGAGCCCATGTCCCAGCAGGACCTGGACTCTGAGGACGGCAAGCTGTCCCTTATCCTCTGGGCAATGAAGCGGCGCCAGGGAGAGCTCCGGATGTTTGGGGGGGTTTGGCGGCGCTCGCGGGCCAAAAGTACGTCAACAAGCACTTCCCCAAGGAGGCGAAGCATGTGTTTTGGGGCTCCGTGGAGTGTGGCTTGGTCTTGCCAAGCATCAGTGCCTGGGAAGTGGTGAGCAAGGAAAAGTTCAAGACCACGGGGGGCTATATGTGCAGATTTTGCAAGGGCTTTTGGAGCCGCGGGGGGACCAGGCTGCTCCAGATCACGGGGTGGCACAGGGATAAGGCCACCTGCTTGCAGTTGGTGATGGACGAGCCCCCGGAGCAGCTGTACAATCAGTGGATCCGCGATCGGATGGAGTTCTACAAGAGGGTGGAGCCAACGGAGCCTCCCAGGGATGAGCGGCGTCCTGGGCGACGCGAGCACCCCCCGCATGCGCTTCAGCTCCTCGAACGGCCTGGGGGATGTCGGCCTTGTGGTCGGTCATCCTGAGCAACCCGGAGAAGTCGGGGCTGGGAGGCGATCCTGAAGGGAGGGAGCCGCTAGGTTTTGTCTCACAAGCCTGTCGGATGTGGGAGTCGTGTGATCTCTTCCTCCCGGGACTTGGGTGCCATTGGCCCCGTCTCCGGGGGGGGGGGGGGGAAATGTCTTCCTTATTGGGTTCGGTTTTCACCACTGTTTCCTCTCTTATTCCATTTTGGTGGCGCACGTGGGTTTTTCCGGTGGCATGGCAGTGGAGCCACGTCACGGCAGCTTGATCTCCTCGACCATGAGGCCACATGCATTAGCTGCCCCAAGGACGGGCCATCTCAGCCACGGGTCGGAAAAAGTGGCTGCCGCCGACTCATGGTTTCCTTGAGGTTTCCTTGAGGTTTTGGGGAATCCCCCACCTGGTCGGTCTCCCCCTCCGTGCTTTTGGGGGGTTTCTGGGGGGTTGATTTTGGGTCGCGCTCCCCCCTCTCCCTGTTAAAATCTCGGGACTTTGGGGGGGACGTGTCGGGATGCGTGTGGCCTGCCTGCTCCATCTGCACTCTGCATTCTGCAAGGTTGGAGCATGCATGCATTGTGCCGCGGTTGGGTCCTCATGGCTAGGGTATCTACCAAGTTTCTTATGCGCCCGCTCTACACACGTCTTTGGGACCGCAATGGGACACGTTGGCGGATGAGTCCTTCTCCCCGAGACAGACGGACGGGGAGCTGTTGGTCCTGATGTGCCTGCGCCAAGGCACTGAGGAGGAGGGGAGGAAGCTGGGCGGAGAGCCGGCAATCCGCTTCTCTCAGCTCCTGGAACTCTCGGGCATTCCGGTAGGACAAGACGCCCACGTGGTCCCGACGGAATACTTCAACGGCCTGGTGGCGGCGGCGGCAGGCAGGCTTCCCCAGCCTCTGTCCGCGGCGGACCTGGCCGACCTGTGGGACAGCATATGGTTCCTCCTCCTGGCGACGGCGGATGGCAAGCCAAGAGAGGACTTTTCCCCACTGGAGAATGAATGGGACCGCCAGGACCAATTGAGGTGGTTCTCACGAGATGACCCACCCCCACCGGAGCTTCTGAAGTGGAGGCACTGGCGCCCGGGCAAAATAAGGGAAATGGAGCCCACGACCCAGCGAGCGCTGGAACTCCATATGCGCGGGAAATGGGCGGAACGGCTCCTCGCCCAGTTTGCCCCGTTTGCTGAGCACATCACGTACATGCAGGACATCCTGGGGGAGGACTTCCGCAAGGAGGCATTGGACCTCCTGGGGGCAATAGGATCCGGACACTCAGGCAGCGTTGCCTGGTCTACGAGAGTCTCCGGAAGAGAGGCTTCACGGTGATTCCCTGGCAGGAACGACATGTCCGCTCTCTCCTCAACCAGCTCGCCGAAGAGGTCACCCCGTACAAGCTACGGCAGGTGTGGAACACCCTCAAATGGTATTCCAAGACCTTCGGTATGCTGAAGATAGACGAGCTCCATCGCCTCAAGTCCAAGAAGAGCTCGTTGGAAGAGGCACTCACGGACACGGTCACCCGGCCGCAGCGCAAGGCGGTGGTCCCCAGCAAAGAGGTCCTATGGGCTCTGGAGGAAGGGGCTGGCTACGATCACCTGGGTGGCCACTGCCGCCTCCCGTGTGCGAATGTCCTGGGCCTCCTGGCTGGCCATTTCAACCTCCTCCACGGTGAGTGTCTGGTCCTCAATCAACTCAAAGGAAGTTGCCGAGGTTGCCGAGGAAGCCATTGCTTGGTCGGGGTTAAGTTCGAAAATGCAAAAGATCAAAGTTTTTCAATCAGCTTGGGTTCCAGGAACCCAGAGCAATGCTTGAGCCAAAATGGCACATGCCATTATGGTCAAGCATTCCACACACAGTTCATGTTTCCACATGCGTTTCAACATTAACAAAGTCTCAGAATAGGTCGTCCGCAAAACTGGGTGGTGTCCTGTCCCCAAATGAAGACAAGTCCACATGGCTCTTGCCTACGACGCCAAGCCGGCCGGAGTGGAATCAGGGAAGGCTGTGTCGAGGGCCTTACTTTTTGAAGGGCGCACAAGCGCCGCAGAGGGCCAGCCAGTGGGAGAGCACTGCAAGGAAGCAAAGATTGGACGGCTGGGTCAGTCAACGAAGAATGTGCGGTGTAATCATCATGCCATGAGCGCATTGATGAGAGACTTGTGGACAATCCATCCTTGAATGGCCCAAGGCCTTGTGATGCAGGACATGCAATTGCCAGTGTGAAGATTGTGCTGCGACAGAGTTGCTTTTTCCTGCCAATCGCAGCAGTACGGCGTGGAAGACGGGTTGTCGGGCTAGGAGACAGCTATGTACATAGACAAGTATCTAAAAACAAATCCCACATGCTCGCTTTCATGAGAAAGGGCCCAAAAGGGCCCACACTTGTGTGGACACAAGGCATGAGCAGCAAACAAGACTCGACGTGTGGCTCTGTTGCCGAACGTGTGTCTGGTGTTCAAAGGACTCAAAGACAATGCCATTGCTGAAATTGCTCTCTATCTGGCGAACCCATTGCCCCGAATCGGAAAATACAACAGTTCCCTGATTTGGGAGTTTCTCAAAATCGGAGTCCCTTTCAAAAGGAGACCAACCACCTCACATTTTGAGAAACGTTGATTCCTACACGCACGCCTCCAAAAAAAATGAAACTTAAACAGAGCCATGCCTGTGCGCCCTGACCCTGACTACAAATGGCCGTGTGTTCTCTCAGCGCAGCACCTCTTCGGTTCCTGCACCTTTTCATTTTTTTCTGGCTTTCCCTTGTAAGCAGAACGAAGGAACAAACAGGCAAAAAGACAGACAGGCATAGACAGAGACAGAGACAGAGACAGAGACAGACACAGACAGACAGGCAGACAGACGGACAGGCAGGCAGACGGACAGACAGACAGACAGGCAGGCAGGCAGGCAGGCAGACAGACAGAGAGACAGAAAAACCGCCAACAAAACAAATAAATAGACCAGCAGCGACAAACAAACAAGCAAGCAAGCAAGCAAGACAGACTGACTGACACACAAACAAATAATAACAGCCAAGCAAGCAATCGGGCAAGCCAGCGAGTTTGCAAATGTTGGACAAGTTTTGGTCACACCACCCCGGGCCACTGTTCATTTGCACAACTCGGGGACGGGCTTGGCTCTTCCTTCTGCCGTATCCTCGGTGATTTTCTGTCCAAGAAGGCCGCCTTCCTCCCTCAGGGCACCCGATCCAAAGATGAGATCAGGAAATTCCGCCTGCGGGCACCCTCCAGGAACCATGGGAGGAGAACTGCAGGCACCCTCCCGATCGGTCCCCATTCGTTTCCCTTGTTCTTTTCAGCAGCTCCGAGTCCCCCTTCAGTTTCCAACTGAGAACAAAATGCTGGCCTTCATTGGTGCTGGCTTCTCAGTGTTGTGTCCTTTTTGCTTCTTGGCCATTCCTAAGCCGTTCTTAAGCCGTTCTTAAGCCGTTCTTAACACAACCCCACGTTTTGACCAGCCGTCGGTTCCGCATTTCTGGGCGCCTCCTGTGAGCATTTGCTGTGGGTCTCACCAGTCGCAAACTCCGCCAGGTAGCGGTGATAGTCTCCTCTCGAGACACGACATTTAGCCAAAAGTTGGTCCTGTATTTGGGGCTAAGGCCCATTTCATTCCCTTTTGTTCAAAAGCTGGTCTGCCCCATGGGTTCTGGGCTATTGCTGCACTGGCAACACTGCCAGAGGCGTCAAGAAACCAATAGAAAGCCAACCACCCCTCACCCTACCCCTCGGAATTTGGACGTTCCCGGATTTGACACGGCAGGAAGGTGGCATCTGTGAAAAATCCCGCAAAGAAAGGCGGCGTTATGTTGGCTGTGAAAAGAGATACTCCAAAAAGGTGCTTGTTTTGGCACACAGCAGTGCAGTGCAGCTTCAAAACATTGCAACAAAAGGGTGAACACTTTTAGCTAGTCCAAACTGAAACCTGGACATGCTGTTTTTTGGAGGGGATTCTCCCCGATTCTAAAATGTACGGGAATCTCACGAGGATTCTGCCCGAAATTGTCATGAACAAGACAGCTTGACCTGCCAGTGCCATTCTCAAAGATAATACCCAACCGAAAATGATGCAGTTGATTTTGGGCAGATTTTTAGTGAAATAAGCTCCAGATCCCAGCTAGCCAGGGTCCCTTATGGAAGGGCGACGCTGTTTAATTTTGAACCCGCAGTCCATTGGGCGGGCTGGGACGCTTCGTGAAACTGGCTCGGACGCCCGGCTTCGGGGCGCGACTTACTTTGGCTTTCCCCAGCTCCATGCGAGCCACTCCCAGCGGCCAAACCGGCATCTGAATCCCCACTCCCTCACCCCGAGGTTGTAGCCCAGCTCACCAGCGTCCCAGCCCACAAGCTAGCTGGTCAACCGGGCTGGGCGACTGAGCACAAACGCTTATGCTCTCCCTCCCTGTAGCGCAAACAGGGCTGAATGGATCCCGACAATAACACCGCACGAGATCGACCAGACTGACTGCGCAGAGGCGGCGTTGCTGCGCAAGCTGTTGAATACTGGCAAGCCATTGCGCGATGTGCGACAGAGTTGTGTCACGCTGCACAATCCACACTTTAAGGGGCCTCAGAAACGGTATCAAATCGCACACGCACGCGCACGCGCACACACACACACACACGTACACGCACACGCACACGCACACGCACACGCACACGCACACGCACACGCACACGCACACCCAAACACACACACACACACACACACACACACACACACACACACACACACACACACACACACACACACACACACACACACACACACACACACACACACACACACACACACACACACACACACACACACACACACACTTGAACTCCAGATGGAGAGTGCTAATCTTTCGAGTACAACTGATGAGTTTCGAGTACAACTGATGAGTCTCGAGTACAACTGATGAGTCTCGAGTAAGTGAAGGTTCGGCTTGCAGTCACTTGGTTTCCGTCTAGCTGCGAAAACGTTACAAGGTTCAACATGAAGCACACACAGCGAGAGAAACAACGGGCCAAAGGACATTGCACACGAGTTGCAGGGTACAATCCAGCGTCAGACTTGCATCACACTTCTCATCAGGCGTCTTCGTTGGCCTGAGTCCTGATGAGAAGCCTCAAGCCCCCTGCTGAGAAAACCGAAAGGGTGGTGACAGGGCATTCTGTCACTCCGCACACACACGCCCCTCAATGAGGGGCGAGGATTCTCCTTTTCTGCAGGAAGATCACATGCTCAACCCCGTGTCCCTATCGTTGACCAAAAAATCCACCGCGGCGAGGGGAACGAGAAACAGCCCTAAACCGCTCAGAAGACGGGAACGAGAGATCACCACGTTGAGCATTACGAGTGTCGCCATAGAGGACTGAAGCGAGTTGTGAAGCAGCCTGGCGATCACCATGAGAAAACGGAGTGGCATAGGTGAACGTCTCCTCAACTGGAATGGCATCGGAATTCCGAACTTGACCAAGAGATTGATCATGCGAATGATGAGTTGTGAAGGACTCCATTCGAGACAGAATGCGCTGGTATCCCTGATGCTGCCAGTCGCGGATGTTCCATGCCTGACCGTGCTCACCAGTGAGCCCATTGGGATCAGTCACCCGCTGCCATTCCCGAAAAGAATTGTCTGGTAGATCAGGTACAGTTTCACCGCGGTGCCATCGCTGAGGCTGTCCTGGAGTGTAGATCCGCACCCACTCCTGATCCTGCCAGACCGAGTATTCGAGCCATGGGTGCTGCTTCGAATCATCGATGTCCATGTCGAAGTAAGAGGCAAGGCGTGTCGCGGGCTCCGATCCAGCTGATAGAGGAACAGGCACCATGCACAACCATGTACAAGCAACAACCAAGCAAGGTCATGCAAATGTAAAGACCACCCTTATTTTGTACGCTGTGCCACTCGCGTGAGTCTAGTCCTCAGTTAGCTCGAAGATGGGACTCGCCTTGTCCTTGCCGCTGTCGGAAGGATTCACGGGCCGGTAAGGCTCGGAGACCCCAACCGTCTCCGATGGTGTGATTCCACGTGATGCACGTACTGGTTGATGAGGTTGGGAAGCGTGACGTGCGCGAGCTGTCAGTTGTTGAGAAATCCCCTCTTGGAGACGAGTCAGTTCTTCGGTAGAGAAATCCGCCGCATCCGAGGACCTGAGGATCGCTTCTAACAGCTGCGGTGACATACTCAATGCCGCGGATTGCGTGGCCACGCTGTGATGATCAGGAAAACACATGGAATCAAATTCATGACCAGCTTGAGGGGCAGCGACTCTCCGGTAGCCCTCTGTGGCCCAGTCTCTTTTGTACCACATGGTGACTTTGAGCTGCTCACCGACTGGGTCCGGGTTGGGAGCATAGAACTCCCTCCACTCTCTATACGTGTGCGGTGGAGGTGGAGCATCATGTTCTTCATGTGGAGTCCATGATCCCGGATGAAAGATCTTGACCCACTGGGCATCTGGTTGTTGAGGATCCGGACACCATTCCAGCCACGGCATGACAACGCAACCCCGGAAAGACAAATTGATAGGTGTACGGCTGCAGACAACAATGATTGAAAGAGAAACAACTGCCACAATGCAAGAAATCACTTTTGCAGCACTGCACGGCTCCGGTATCGAAGACAATCTCCCGAATCGAATTGAACTGAACAGACTCCCCAGGAAGGCGAGGACGAGCATCAGCCATCATCTGAGTTGGAGGATGCCGATGAAGAGGTCAGTCCAGCATACATGAGGTCCGGTGCGCCCGAAGCGAAAACTGGCCGCGCAATGCTAGGGTGTGGTCGACCCAGACGTTGGTATCCCCTGGTGACCCAGTCTCTATAATGCCAAGTATAGAAGGATGCATAAGATACCGGTTGCGAAACAGCGCCTGTATTGGTGCCGCCTGTGCTTTCCCTCGGCCAATACACTTCGAAGTGGTGGACCTTGCGCCATTCCCGATAGGTGGTTGAGTCATCCGGGGCTGGTCCCAAGGTGTTCGCGGCGACTGGATGCCACGGACCCGGTACATAGATCCGAATCCATTCTACACTCGTGTTCGCTGGGCCATTGACGATGTCGTAGTCAAAGTAGCGAGGCAGGACCCATCGTGCTGCGCCATACACTGTACAATTGAACATTTCAACCAGGCAAGCCGCTCGAAGTCATAAAGGAAAGCGGCGAACACATGGAGACGGAACGCACAACACCAAGCAAGACAACCCAACATGGAATCTCTTACAAAGCAAGCACAACCGCGTCATTTATCCGACATGCTACCCAAGTGTCACTCCGAATCGTTCCAAGGATCATAGAATGGTGGCGGCGACGGCTGAGCCCCCCGAGGAATTGGCGTCTGCATTCACGAGCATCGCGAGTCCAATGGCTGGTAAAGGAGCTCCAAGTCGTTGATACCCGCGTGTTTGCCAGTCTCGGTACTCCCACACGTGGTAGGACACATAGGAACTGGGCGTGACTATGGGATCCGTTGTTGTGCCTCCGGTGCTGTCTTCGGACCAGTACACTTGGAAGCGATATGACCTGCGCCACTCCCGATACGTGGAAGCGTAGAGTGGGTCCAGCACTGGAGCATCATCGGGAACGGGTCGCCACATGCCCGGAGAGTAAATTCGAATCCATTCCACTCCTCTGTCGATCTGGTACTCGAAATATTGAGGGTTCATAGCGGCAAGACAGGCTCTCGCGCGGCCGCTAAAAGCAATCGAAAGTCTGCGGCGAAGACACACATGCAATGACAACCGCGCACAGCTGAAGGAGAGCAAGGCAACTTTTCAAACTCAAGGTGAGACACAGCAGCGAGGTTTGTAATATACGACTCCTAAGCTTCACCGCCGTTGATGCCGCGCACACCTGCAATGGTAATGTCCTGGTCGTCTACGATCACAAGGGGAAAGACATTTCCGCCCATGGCGTAGGATGGCATGGCAGTAATGCTTGCAATTTGCCGATGGGGACAGCGATGGACGGCCAGCACGTTTGGAGGGGAACACTGTAAAGGGCCGCCGAGATCTCCGCTGTGCCGAAGCGGATGCTGTCCGAGATCGTTTGGATGAGCGCCCTGGACTGTGTAGCTCTTCATCACGGGAATGGTCAGTGCTGTAGATCGAGCGGCGTGTGCGCTGCGATTTCGAAGTGGCAGGGCAGGATTGTCCGCAAGGAGCTGAGATCGAGGGGCTCCGTACAGAGGGCATAAACTGTGGGTGTAGAATCACCGGTGGTGGTGGCGGTGGAGGAGGAGGAGGTGGAAGAAGCAGTGGGAAACTTGGCGGGGGCGGAGGTGACGTAGTCTGCCGAAAGGGCTCCAGGTCCGTGAAATTGTAACCACGTCGGCTGCGCTCCATGGGTCCAGGTAATGTACGTCTGTACAACTTGTTCCGACATGATTTGAGCAACTCAGTCATGAATTCACTTCACGTCAGCGGCAACACCCAAAAACGGCAAGCAAAAATGGCAATCAAGTGCAAGCAAGCTAATGTCATGTGATCAACAGCACTAGCCGAATACGCCGCCACGGCCTACCATTTAGTCCTCCGGTGGTCGCTGTTGCATTTGATGA